TCAAAATAACTTGCAATTCTTGAGACCAACCAGAGTACCCCCTCAGTTTGTTCACTCCAAAAACACAACGAAAACAGCGTGAGCCACTAATAGTAGACTTGGCCTTCAGCCATGGCCCAGTCAAGCCTCAGCATCCTAGTAGCCCAATGATGGATGGGACCGAGCTCAACAATAAATCTGTTTTCGGAAGGGCTCCTTCTTCCGATCTTGGACCACTAGACTGGGTGAGTATACGATGGTATACGTATTGCTCTCCAACCATCCAACACCTTTGCAGCGAGGCCCCGGGCGTCCTGCCTCCGTCCCCCTGGCCTCTGCCTGGTCTCGATCGCCCAGAACACCTGGGTCTGCGAGGTCCGCGAGGTGATCACCGCTCCACGGGTGGGTCCTCACAAAACCCTACAAATATCTAGGGATCTAAGTGCCTTCTCAGGTGATTGGAGACACTGTTATGTAGGTGCTAGGAGGGTCCAGTCGTACCTTCTGAGAAGGTACGACTGGATCCCTAGGAAAAAAAGAAACATGGTGGGAAACCCAGCATGGAAACATAATCACATCTGCAATCTATACTCGCTTCACCTGGATTAAATATATTTGGCCTGGTGAACCGAGCAGACACCGCGTAAACTCTCAAAGTCGGCAAGCTGCTACAGTATGCCCAGAGGATCCCAGAGCTATCCCATGCGACTCTCGCAGAATGTCGCATGGATTTGTCGAGCCATTGCCGATCAATAATAACACTATCATTTGAGAGTCACAAAAAATCGATAGACTTCCTCAGCACCTGCCATTCGTATCCATTCGCACTATACCCAAACACCAAGTTGACTGCCCCTCACAAGCCACTTATGCCTTTCCAATTGCACCTCCCAGGCACTCTCCAACCCTTGTTGACCATCAATCGACCCTCTCGAGCCATCGGAGTATGTCATTCTCGTCCTTTTCAACGCCACGTGCCAACCTCTCCCAAAAAACCGGCAACGCATTCAGGCTTCATCGCTGTCACCCTCAATTCAACCGCCCCACCGCCCCTTTGCGCAATCCAGGCGGATCTGGCGACAGGACTCTCTGCCGCGAAGACCGAGTCACTTGGGATCTCCTTTCAGACTCACCTCCATGGCCACGATCGCCCCCATGCAGCCGCCAAAGACCATGAGGGTGGGGACCTTGTGAGTGGTTGGTGAGGATGGTTTGACCAAGGTGAAGTGATTCAGATTCAGATTCAGAAGACCAGGACTTGAGAGTCAAGAAGCTTCCTGTAAAGCTAAGAACTTTAAAGTGAACATGTTGCTGTCCAACAGCATGGGAAGAGCATACTGAGGAAACATTCACAGTCCGTGTTATAGATCTCTGATGTTCGATGGCATCTTGTGTGACATAAACAAGATCGGCAGTACTGTTATGAAGTGTGGGAGTTTCCTCGTCAACCACCTCACTTCAGCAGCATTTTCACCTCCCAACATGAGCAATAAGCCTTCTCTGAACTGACTTTGCACAGGTTGAAGATCCGCCAGGTCAAACCACAACGGAACTTGCGACCCTAGAGCAAGAATGGAAAAGGTTCCCGGCAGAACAAGCGTTTAGTGCTGCATTCCTGTCAATGTCTCTGCAAGGGATAAAAGGATGGAAAAGGTTTAGAACCCACTAGGTGCCTAGGTCTCCCACCACATCTTCCAAAGGACGGCCTGGCACCCGCTGTTCAACACATCAACCACCTTCGGTGTCGCCCGGGCTGCTCCACGCCCAGTACGTTTCGCCCGCTCGCCCGGGCTGCTCGACGGATCGAAAACACGGCCAGGTGGCCCAGATCCCAGACGTCGACATCGCACCGGATCGCCCCAGCCGAAAGAGACCGAATTGGAGGCGAGGGCGATCCGGGCCAGGAATGTTGGAGGTTGGGGACTTGGTTGACTTGAGGAGTCCCCCAAACTGGATTGGAGTCATATCATATATGCTTGGTTTATTCTTATATGGCCTATATGGGCTCCTATCTACACAAACACACCTGCAACATCCTGAACCTAAAGATTCGTGCAGGAGTGTATGTATAAGTAGTGGTTGAATGTTTTTGATAGTGCCCTCAATCTGCAAGTCCGTGCAAATCTATCCGTTTGCCACTGGTCTGGCTGCCACTCCTGCATGTTGCATCATGTTGCTATATGCACTTGCACTGTGACCGAAGCCTGCAATTCTCAAGTCTGAGATGTCGCAGCCTTTTTTGGACTGGCGCAGCGTCTGGGCCAAAGTTGCAGAACAGCTCCATAACCACTCCTGCTGTCCCTGAAACAATCCTGGAAGTGGGTGGCATGGCCAACATGGATTTAGAGGACCATCGTCTACAAACAGGTTCACTTCCATGGTGCATGAAGGAAAGTCACCTGAACCATAGCTTTTTGGCGAGTGCAAGCTGCAGTACTCCTCCTCCTTGATGAGTCCCGGGGTCGGCGGCAGGGGCGGCAGCCCTTAAATAACAGAGAGAAACAACTCCCCCTACAAGTCCAGCCTCACCCAGTAAAACCTGGTCCTTTACATCTTCTAAGTAGTGTTGTTATATGACCACGTCCAGTATTTCATGAGGTCATCGACCTGCATGGATACATATACCGAGTTCGACTCTGTCGACTTCAGTCGTGCGTCGTGCAACCCAGGCGTGACACGTCGCGAGTCGCATCATTAGGTCTCGAGAGTATTTCAAGCAGCATGATTTCTGCGGATGAATTGTTTTGTAAAGGCCATGTGCCATGTGAGAATCTGTGGGATTCCAACAACTGGTGTGATGGTCTTTACCAAAGAACCATCATTGTTTGTCCTTAATTGTATAGAGATTTTAGACTTGACTACGAAACCAGGTCAGCCATTCTCTTAATGGTCTTTGACTAGGGTTTGTCTGCACTGACTCGTGACTAGAGGAAATGGGATGAGGTCCTGGCGGTCCTGGCCCAAGGTAACATCCTGCAACCCATCGTCACCGTCACCTGACCTTTTCCATCCCTACAACCCCCCTCCGGTCGTCCGCTTCTGCGGAGCGGCCCGCAGAATCAGATTCCGGTCTGATGGGCTCACAAGTCTCGCGAAAGCCCCACTGGAGAGTTG